AAATCGACAAAAATTGCAGAGGTATATTCTTGTGAAAAATTGAATTGTTTGTGTCAATTTTGCAGCCTCGGAATAGAGTTAAGTTGTTTCCATTAAGAAACGACGAACTGTCAGTTCCCTGACGAATAAGGAACGTATAACCACTTTGTACAAGACTTACAAGTTTCCTTGACTTGAAAGTCAACCACTGTTCAGGGCGAACGATTCAAGTAAAATCCTTTTTCCTTATACACTGAAAAAAACACACATTGGATCTAGAGTCCAGACTCTTGGAAACATTGACAAGAAAAAACATTCTTGATTTAATCGGATTTTTGCTTGAATCAAAACGAAATCCGCTTAAATTAAGAGGCTTGGCTCTTGATTTAAGCTAGATTCTGATTGAATCAAGAGTACTTTTTCTTGTCGGTGTTTTTAAGAGTCTGGACTCGAGATCCAATGTTTTTTTTTTTTTTCAGTGCACTGTCACGTGAATCAACTATCGGACAGTGTCTCGGTCGAAAATAAAGCCAACTGCTCATATCCAATAAGTTTTTTACTACCACTACCTTCTGTTTGCATTCTCTTGAGTCCTTTCTTTTACTTTTAACTGACCTCGCTGCTTCTTTTTCGTTGTGTTCCAGGTAAGCCGGGACCAACCCAACAATTTCAACACTCGTGGCTCTGTGATGGGAATCGATGGTCAAAGGTTTTCTTCTATATTTTTTGCACTAAGAATCATTGAATTATTCATCGGGTCAGCGCTTTGACCACCCGTTGGCACTCTCGTTTCTCCGGAGACCGTCTGTCGATTCGGATCCGAGACTCCTCCCCTGCTTTGCTCTCGGAGCCAAGGGGCGTTACTGACGTCCGTAACGTTGTAGGTGAATAGAGGTAGGTGTGTTAAACGTTGAGGAAGTCCACGTCGAAATTCGCCCTTTCGGATCACTAAAAAAGCAGAGAGATGCAGTGATACAGCTGCAGTGATGGCGAACAGAGCAGTAAGTGTCAAATTTTCGAAATCGAGTTTCCTTCAAAATTCGTCTAATCTCTTTTGGATGAAATCACTGAAACAACTAAACTAAACTAACTAACTAAACAGGAAAATTCATCTTATTTTCATAAAAACGAGACATAATGAGAAAGTCGTGAGTGCGCAAAATATGACGATGTTTTAGGCAAGGCAGTAGTAAGTGACGATATGCCTCCGAAGAGCCAAAGAAAACAGTGCTTTCAAGTAAAGTGCCCTCCTGCCGATTTCTAACCTGAAAATGTGTTGGTTGTCTGCCCAAAACGCAACCACGAAAGCATGCAGTAGATAGCACTCACGGCTGTCTTGCCTAACGACAACCTAGCATGAAATTGAAAAATACCCTTTTTATGTAATTGAAATAAAATCAGTCGCTTTTTAATCCTGCAAACGATTTCCAGAAGTCTTTCGGACGCTAAGTGATAATTTGAGAAAGAACGGACGCTTCTTTCAATAACATTTTACGGTCAAAAGCTTCTGAGCTCGTTTTCTCAAAACTTCATTTTTGCACTTACTGGTTCTCTTCGCTATCACAATAGGGTGTCTCAAGTAGGTGCGTAGAAACTTGTAGGGATCCTTCATCGTATCGAGTTGGATCGAAACTTTAAAAATAACTCAACCTCTTTCCGCGGAAGCCGAATAACCGATCTTAATTTTATATATTTGAACATAGTGATGAGAACCACCGTAACACCAGTTAAGATTGGATAGGTTTGTATGTGAAAAACCACAAAGCCAAGGTGTTATTTTGAGAATACTATTTTATTAAATCATTGCCGAAGCAATCCAATGCATTCCGATTTTAATTTTGATCAACAATCCACACTGAGAAAAAAAGTTCGATAAATCCGAATTAGTTTGGATCATATGGAACCACGATTTTGTTCGGTACACACAACCGAATTATTCGGTCTGTTCAACCGAATTGTTCGGTTTTAGCAACCGAACCATAATAAATTCTTACAGTTCGGTTCAGTGGACCGAAAAGTTCGGCTGAGCAGACCAAATAATTCGGTCGTGTGTACCGAGGAAAATCTTGGTTCCATATGAACCAAACTAGTTCGGATTTACCGAACTTTTCTTCTCAGTTCAGGTATTAATTTTTGAATAGTTAGTAGATAAAGTATCAACCCATTTTTTCACCGGGAGAGGCAATTTTTTCTCTCCTTAACCAAGGAGGTTTCCTCCCATCGCGATATCCCGGTTTCCATCGTCGAATGTACGCCACTCACGGTGTCTCCGGCTTCCCCGGGGGGTAGCACGGTCCCCGCGCCGGGTCTTCACGGCCGTCTCGACCAGTAACGTGGCGTGCTTTGCGATGTATCGATTGTCATGCCATTTAAGCCTATGGTAAAGAATCGATTACTAAGGTGTTCGCTGCGACATCCTGTTTATCGATCCTCTTCCATAGGTTTAAATGGCAGATCATTCGATATATCGCAAAGCACGCCACGCCGCTGGTCTCGGCCGTATTTATTTATGAACGTCTCAGACGCGGCTTTTGATATGTAAATACGGCAAGTTAAGACCCGTCCGGTCGAGCTGTCGCGCGCGGCGGTCCCCGAGGATATAACCTCGCCGCCCGTGCCAATCCGCCCAGATAATCGACGAATTTCCGGATCTCCCCCCAAAAAAGACGCCTCCGATCCGGTTGAGGTTGATAGACCGAGGCAGTGGTCCCATTCCATGGCCCTCAAAAGTTCCGGAATTCGGAACTTTTTTGTTCCAATTTCTCCCGCTACATGACCGTCAAAAGTTCCGCAGTTCGTTTTAAATTTTTTTAAAGTTTCGAGAAAGTTCCGGAAAATGTAAAAGATCCGGATCATTTCGGAACTTTTAAAAGTTCCGGGAAAAATTCAGGAAAATCTCGAAAGTTCAGGGATTCGGAACTTTTTTGTTCCAATTTCTCCCGCTACATGACCGTCAAAAGTTCCGGAGTTTGTTTGAGATTTTTTAAAAGTTTCGAGAAAGTACCGGAAAATGCAAAAGATCCGGAATATTTCGAAAATTTTAAAAGTTCCGGGAAAAATTCAGGAAAATCCCGAAAGTTCCGAAATTCGGTACTAGTTCCGGGACATGGATGCACTGGATTGAGGTCAGGACGTCAATATTTTAAAACCGCCAGGTTCCGTGTATCTACATTAATTCGAAAAACGTAGGATATAGGAAACTGAGCACGTAACCTCCCTGCCCGGCTCGACTTGTCCGGATAATCTCCGAATTTCCGGATCTACTCCTAAATTTAAAAAAAAAGATTCCTCCAGTCTGGCTGAGGCAGAGGCGGATTCAGGGGGGAGGGGGCGTGTAGGGGACGCGCGCTCTCCCCCCCCCTCCCTTCGTTCGCTCTATGAAAAGGGGGAAGCTTGACATTTTTTGACAGGTATTTCTCTATATTGCGGCAATTGAGATATCTATACGTAGGTCACGCGATTATTATTTTGCCCAAGGAGGGAACAAAGAAAAAGGAACGGATGAAAGGAGAAGGAAAGACGTTCAGATTTGGTATTTATTCATGACGACATTTAGCAAATTGCATATTAGAATTCGGATGCTTTAAAATTTTGATAATTTTCTTGGGGAGCCCTTGGAACACCCCCTTTCCCTCCCGTTTGAAGTTTCTGGATCCACCGAGGTTGATAGGCTGAGGTCAGAACGTCTTTATTCTGAAATGATAGGATCCTTGTATCTACATTGATTCGGGAAACGTGAGAAAAAGAAAAATGAGTACATTTCCCCCCGGATATTCCTGTAAAATCCAAAAACGCACCTTTTCAGCCCGATTTGAGATAGATAAACTGGCTCAGTCAACCAATATTTTTAACAATCGTTTGGGCAAATAGTGAACCGAAAAAACAGTTCACTTATAAATGTTTTCATGTTAATTTTTAAGAAACAAATTGTCAGAAAATAATCAGTAAATGTTTGTAAGCAATTTTAAAAAACAATTTTAACACTCTTGGTTCGGACAAACTCTCTTTAAAAGTATAAAAATTTGTTTTATGTTTGGTTTTTCAATTTGAAGGAAAATCATTTTAGAAACGTTCCTGGAACTTTTTAGACAAATTTTTAAAAATGTAAAATGACTGACAAATGACCTTAAAAGACACTTAAAGCATATTTTTCGATGGTGAAACTCGAGGAATGTGTAGCTCAGTTTGCGGCGTTGCAGACTTCTTTTCGTACTTTATTTTTCACTCAGAATACTAATAAACGAGATTATTTGAAAATTTCGGTGATTTTCAAGGCATAATGTTGGCCTGGTCTCCTTTAAAAAAAAAAAAAAAAAAAAAAAAAAAAAAAAAAAAAAAAAAGAGGAGCGGCTCTTCTGAAAAACCGCAACTGAGGTACGTATTTCTGCTGTTTCACCGTCAATTTGCCACAATTACGTGTATCCGTTAACGTTTCAAATCGATACTCAATCGATATATTTAAATATTTTGGTTCACTCTGTTTTACAGACTTCCATTAAACATTTTATTGTTTTTAGAGCTATCTTAATAACATATTTTATGGTGCTATGATTAAGAAGAATCCTTGTATATACATGGATTCCAAAAGAAAATTATAGGCACGGCCAACGGAGTAGACTTCAAGTAGCTGAAATTGCGCACAAATTACGTCAAGCACACGAAAACTGTTGAAAAAACTTATTCTTGAGTTTCATGCATTTTCGTGGAGAAAATCGTTTACTTTTGCAAAAAAGCATCCATAACTGTGTCGATAGAGTTGACTGGGATCTTTTTTTATAGATCATGCAATGAATCGAGTAAAACTGACGCAATACCAGAGCCAGGCTTTGAAAAAAAATCCCTCTGTTCCACACCTCATTATGCGATTGCAAAGTGACGCCAAGATTTTAATATCCAGGCTGAGCTATGCAATTTAGAGTGCATGCCAGAACTCACATTTTTTCACATGATGTGGGTTCGTGAGGTACATTCACAGAAAAAATAGGATAGTCGTCACACGGTTATGACGACAATCCTATTTTTTCCGTGTATATATACGTTCGTGTTGAAGACTGGTGTTTCATTTCTCGACACCCAGATTCTAAGAGTACAGTCTTAATAATTCGTCTCAGCTTAAATGTATCTTTAATTTAACCACGGTATGGCGTTTCTGGGCGTCCTGGTCGTTGCAAGCCTTTTTATTGTGAGTCCAGTTCTGTCGAAGAAAGAAAGTAAGTTATCTCCGCGTTTTCACCTCTTTGACATTTTGATATTGAATGATCACGTCACTCTTAATTATAGCAAGCCTCTCGTATTTCACTTCCATCGTAAAAATAAAACTTTATAATGATGGTCAAATGATGATCCTCAAAGGTACGAAATAATCTTGAATGATCCTAACGACAGTGTTAGTGAAATGTGTCCTGGCCCGTTGCAATTTTTTCACCTGGAAACTTGCTTACTTTGACCCGTTAATTCAAGTTAATGAAACAATGATAGACCATATCACGATCGGGGGAACACTGTAGTGGTGATCGTTGAAGATTTCTCATATCTCTGATGGTTATTTGAACATCACGATGATGTTTTATTGTCACTAGGGTTCATACCACGTACTATTTAAGAAACTGCACACATGGTGATTTTAAAAAGAAGGAAGTAAAGAATTAGAATGTTTTAACTTATGAAAGTAACCTATATTTTCTATCTAAAGAGTGCCGTTGCTAGTATCAGGTGTATCAAAAGTAGTCGTAGGGATGCCAAATAAGAAATATATAACACTAAGAAACGTGGCCCGTACTGTTTGTAACGAGGTCAGAAAATAGTGCCGGGCCCTCACTATTTTTCGGCTGAAACAAGGCTGATAGTTTTTACTGTATTTGTAAATTTTGTACTTTCTTTTCCCCGAAAAATGGTGTGGACCCAGTATCATCTTACTCCACGTGAATTTATTAGAAAAGTACAGGTTATCAAATATTTAGGTTATCAGAGAGGTTTTTATTTTTCCTAGAGACAAATACAAGTTGCGAGGTTAGGACGGAAAAATTTCTCTCTGCTCTACTCATTTTTACGTTTCTATCATTATTAGGACAAACGCCCTTAGGAAAAAAGCCAGTGGGAGATCTCACTCGTAGGAGTTACTGTAATGGGACAGAAAATCAGTGGGGAAAAAGCACTAGGAAAATTCGCAGTAGGAAAAAAAAATTAGGAAAAATGAAATAGCACCCTAACAACGCACCTCGCAGTCCCAAAGAATGAGATCCGAGTTATTTGTGCTGTTCAGCTGTAAAATGTGATTGAAAAATATTTCCTATCGCAAAATGTAGATCATCTCATATCGATCGATTTCAGAGTCTTACACCGCGGAGAGTTGCAACGAGAGATGCCATAAAAAACACGGGTACATCATCATTCCCTTGATCGATGGAGAAGAAACAAGGGAATGGATGACAAGTGGAAGTCTGGTGGAGAAGGAAGAGAAACCAACCTCAAAGTTCCTCAAAAGAGTAACCCTGAAAAAACCAACCCCGAAAAAATCAACCCTTATTTGTGATTGTAAATTCAACCCCTATGTGCTTAATCATATAGAAGATAAAGGTCTCATTCTCGAAGACTTCTTGGGATGGTTCAAAAAGGCCCCATGGATGGGCAGAGGCTGGTTGAGAATAAAGGGGATCAAAGTCAAGTTCCCAGAAAATTCAAAATACAATAAAGACCAAAAGTATCCTGTTGAAGGAAATCAGGACCTTCCACCATTTGATTCTCCTTTTCAGCTTGACCACCATTCACAGTCATTCTCCCACCATTCAGCCGACCAGCCTTTTTTCCAGCTTGACCTCACAAAGTTCCAGAAATCACTGCCTCGAGATAATTTAGAGGATGACCTATCCGAAGGTGGGAAGATAATGGTCGAAAACAAGTTCTTTAAAGATTTAAAACACAATATGGACCCATCGACTCCTGTTAAAGGAAACCAGGACCTTCTATCATCTCGAGTTGAAAATTCCCGTTCTCAGCCTCTAGTCAACGATATCAAGTCCATCCGCTCAGCATCCCGAGGTTCACAGGATGAGCTTTCATCACGCGAAAAGAAAGCGCATCATTTACTGGTACAGTATGACCGCTCACCACCCCGAAATATGAAGATCGATTTACAGCATAGCCACTCACCATCCCGAGATGGGAAGTCCGTTTTACACCACGCTACAGCGGGCCACTTAAAATCATCCGACGCACTGCTCGACTCTGAAAAATTTCTTCTTCATTATATTCCAACGGAACAATCAACAGTGGAATGCAGCGCTAAGTGTCAGGTTCGTGGCGGTTACGTACGCGGAGGAGAAGCCAAACACCGTTACTCTCGCGAAGGAGGAGCCAAACACCGAGACAAAATAGACCTCCTGGTTGGGATGATTAATGATACCGAGCAGGTGGAGACCTGTGTGTGTAGACTCAACTTCGTCCTGATTCAGATGGTGAAAAGCAAGGACTTCGACGCGGAGGACGTGCAAAAATTCGAGGATTTACAAGATAAGCCTCTGGTTTCTGTAATTCACTGGTTGAGAAAGCACGGAATTGAGGTCCATACCCACAAAACGCCTTCCTTTAAACAGTTCTTAAAAACGAATAGCATGCGCGGCTCCGAAGTCCAGAACCCCAAAACTCTCTAACGATGACCGTTTGACGCGTATATGACTAGCCCCTCTCAGTCATGAACGTTACCGTATACCAATGGTTGGTTAGTTATAATTTACGACGATCAGCAACCAGGCTATTTACATGGGATTCATATTCCATAGGAATTGATGATTAATTTAATCATCAATTCCTATGGAATATGAATCCCATGTAAATAGCCTGGTTGCTGATCGTCGTAAATTATAACTAACCAACCATTGGTATACGGTAACGTTCATGACTGAGAGGGACTAGTCATACACGCGTTATCAATGTACGCGTTTATATCAATTATTGATCGACCTCAGTGGATAGACAAAGATTTTAAGAACACTTTTGGGGATAAATGCCTTAAAACGTGAAACTTAACCGGATTATGGTTGTTTGTAGTTGACAGTGAACGCTATGTAATTATGATGTAAAGAACGCTTTAAAACTGCAATTTCCATAATTTTTCTCCCTCCTGCAATAAGATCTGTTTTCTTGTGGACGGTGACGAATAAAGACATTAATGTACTGAACCCTTAACCAACCTGTTAACCTGTATGACTCATTTTGGTGTATTGTTGTGATTCGGAATTTTTGTTTATCATGCATGTCAAATATAGTCTGTTCTGGTTAAAGACATTTATACGAGTCGTTGTTTGTGACCAACACCTGTTTCATAAAATTCGGTCATATTTTAAGAAGACTATTGAACATTTCTGGGATCGGTGTAAACTATTTGCTTGGGAGAATGATTTCAGAATAAGTGAATCGACTCTAAAAACAAGAGAGTTACCGCAACTTTTCCTTCAGCCCAGCGAAAGACTTAAATGCTCTATCGACCTTCATAGAATTAGGTTCTTTGCTAATTTTTTTTCTAATTTTTTATTCAATGTTAGCCACTGTATACATCGCGGTATAATTATTTTCTAATGGGAAACATCTCATGGAATGGCACGGCTTTTTGAACGTCAATAATTAGAAAAAATCTCGAAGTATGCTAGAAATCCAAGTTTATTTCTGCCACCCTTAGGAAAAACGCATTATTAAAGCTAAGGAGTTGCCTGGTTTATTTTCATAAAATTTGAATTTTTTGATCAGCGAATTTTTTTTCTTTATTTTTCCGAGAATTTGGCTCGCAATGTAATCCAGTTCTCACGAACATTCTTGAGGTTCATACTGAGAACTACTCTCAAAATCAACTATTCTCTCAAACTGCATGAGGATGGACGTGCGTCGTTTTTTCAGCATACCAACATTGGGCACCCTACAATTATTTAAAGTCAGAGACACTCACTACTAACAAACCTCTATGTGCATTTCCATTTTCAGTAAACCTCTATTTCAAGGATATCATTATGAAAATAGTTGTATTATTATACACGGAGAAAAAAACCTCGTGCGTGGGACCCGAAGTTTAGGTCATATGGATCTCTGTAATTTTCAGATTGAGCATCTGAACACTTTAGGCCTAGCTGTCGAGGTTCGGATCACACATCTGAACTTCAGTTCTTACATCTGAAGTGCTTCAGATGTGAGAACCGAAGTTTTTCGGATGTGAAAACCGAAGTACTTCAGATGTAATAACTGAAGTTTCAGATGTGTGATCCAAACCGCAGCAGCCGAACCTAAAGTGTTCAATCCGAAAACGTCAGAGATTCACATGACCTAAACTTCGGGTCCCACGCACGAAGTTTTTTCTCCGTGTGCAGTCGTATAAATTTCCGTCAGAACACCAACGCGATGGTAAAGCTGCAAAAATGTGTATCTCGGTTACCGGCGTTGCAGACTTCCTATCATACTTTATTTTCTACACGAAAAACTACTGAAAGTCATTTTTTCAAAAACAATTTCAGTGATTTTTTTTTCTTTATGAAGAAATTTTTGTAAAAATCCAAGCCATGAAGTCTGTTTGGTCTCCTTTGAAAGAATAAAATATGGGCGTAGATTTTGAAACACCGCAACCGAGCTAGCAATTTTTGAAATTTCACCATCGAACGGTTATAATAGCACCAACACTCAACAGCTCATTCTTAAAAAAATAATAGAAGAACTCCTTTGAATCACTCCACGCTAGCGCCTGAGAAGAATTGGACGCATTTCTGTCAAACGGAACTATATGCATTATAACGTGAGCCCTGTTTTGTATATCCTCTTATGGGGCTTAGGGTTCATGTCATAATGCACATAGTTCCGTTTGGCAGAAATACGCTCAATTGGAACTTGAATAGTCGGAATTCAGGGTCAGGATCCTATCGATCAGTTGCTTAAAGTTCAGTCTACGGATCTAAATCACATTATTGTCCTTGCAGAAGACCCGCATAGCTTTGATCGTGATTAAGGCATTTTCGGATCCAACAAAATGGCAACATTTTTTTTTCTCCATTTAAACCTATGGAAATGTATCGATGCTTGAAGGGGTCAGTCGTGCTGTCATACTGTCGTGCTAAGGAAGAACGCCGTACGAACATTCGAGAGTTGCCAAATTTCCTTCGATAAAATGTCTATTTTTGAGGAAAGTTATTAAAGGTTTTCCTAAAAAATTTTCAGAGCTTCAAGTGAAACTGCGAACAAAATTATCTGAAAAATTGGAAGAAAAATATTCCCAAGAGTACCAGGAAATTCACTTTTTATCGGCGGAATTTTGGCAACACCCGAAGGTTCATACGGCATTATTCCTCAGCACGGCAGCATAGGTTTAAATGGAGGAAACCCTGCGTTGCCGAATTTCTGGATCCGCTCTTCGATTAAGGGAGACTAATTAAACATTCATCCAACTGTCTAGTCGTTTTCCAGAGGGAGAAAAATGAATACATATCAACGGTGTAAAGCTTCCTCTCGCAATGGATCACTAGAACGAATGCTAAGCAGTTTGTTTTAAGCAGCGAAGTTCTTGATTTTCGAAAAAATACTTCTTGACGGCAAATTGAAGATTCTTTTTTTTCAGTGAATTCTGTGACTAGTGCAAGTGACATTTTGGCGGGAATCACGAATTTAAGCAATCCGATAAATGTTTCTTTACCAGAATTTCACGTAGAACACGATTCGTGCAACTAAAATTACTGAAACCAACTCCTAACGAAGATATTGACGCTTTTATTTCACATTGGTTACGAGGAATTTGCACTGCCCGCTCACAAGAAACTCAAAGCTCTACTTGAGTCAAATCGCACACTACAACGGTTTCAGCAAGCTTCTCAATCGAGCAATGTTCATTTCCCACCGTGTGTTGTTCAAACTATAAGCAACTTGCTATAGCTGAACCGAAGCGTCAACATTGAGGTTGCCAGATGTTTATATCGCAGCGACGTTCATGATAACGTTTAGCGCGCGATGTGAATTACGTAGAGCATTGAGTTTTCATGAGCGGGTGGTTTGAATTCACGCATCAAGAATTATTGAATATCTTCGGAAAGAGTTAATTTTGGTAATTCTCGTTGTACGCATCGTGTTCTACGTTAAATTTTGGTTAAGAAGCATGTATCAGAATGCTGAAATTCGTACCTTGTCTAGTGGTCCATTTGTATTTTCAAGAAAAAGAGAGATAGCGAGTTGAAAATAGCTGCTTTATTCAAGATATGTTAGAAAGCTGTGGCAACAATCCATGTTTTCGATTTTGTACCAACATAGAGAGAAAACTCTACGCGAAAGTCTGGTTGATACGGAAAGTAAAACACAAAATAAACCAAGCCTTCGGTTGACTCTCGGGTTCCCCACTCATTCCATTGTATTTCCCGCCAAAATGTCACTTGCACTAGTCACAGAATTCACTGAAAAAAAAGAATCTTCAATTTGCCGTCAAGAAGTATTTTTTCGAAAATCAAGAACTTCGCTGCTTAAAACAAACTGCTTTTTTTGCTTAACCCAAGCACTATTTTTCTTGTATCAAGAAGAATTCAGCTTAAATCACGATAAAAAAAATTCTTGGCGGCAAATTCAAGAATCATCATGCTTGTGCACCTTTTTTTTCAGTGTTGTGTTTTGATGCTTAGTTCTCGTAGATAAGCTAAAAATATTTAGATCCGTCCAAACAGTAACTTCCTATGTCAAATATTAACCGAGATATCGCGCTTTTAAAAACTCGGTTTTTGACGTCATCCACCGCGGTAGTGACACCCTCGGTTTCCTCCGCAATGGATTCATCTCTCAATGGTACACCTACATTGTGCTTTGGTTGCTCGACGTTAAACACAAATAAAGCCAGGTGGAAGAAACCAAGGGTGTCACTATCGCGGTGGATGATTTCGTGATAAACCGACTTTTTCAAAGCGCGATCTCTCGGTTAATATTGAACGCAGAGAGTTGCTGATTAGACAGATCTTCTTATTTTTATCTAATTTACAAGAATCAAGCATCCAAACACGATGCTGTTACCAGCGCAACTGACCCATTCACCGCAAACTGGACCAAAATCAGCGACAAATTTTGTTTCGTTTGTATTTCACTTCCTATTCTACCAAATGTAACACAAGAACACAAATACTTTTCTCAGTCACTTTTGTAGTTTTGCACCATACTGTTGGGGCACTTAACCGCCACTGAAGTATGTCGAGGTAGAGACTTTCTGGGAGCTGTCGTCTCTGCACTTCATCTCTTTTTGGATGCCTTCTATCCACCCTTTAGTTAGACGCCTGCCTGGGGGTACCCACCCCAAAACCTTTTTCGGCAACCTGCTATCGGCCAATTTCTACTCATGCCCATACTATACCAACTGATTGATCATGATATATCGTGACCAATTGTCCCTTTAAAGTCCATGATCTCTCGGACACTTTCATATCTGATACGTTCTCTCCTCGAGATTCTAGTCAAGTTTTTCGTTCCGTTTTTTCTCAAACCAACGTCTCTTTGGCCAAACGTCAATGTTGGATGACAAATCTTTTTTTGACCTTCCAAAAAAATTGCATAACAGCAGGTGTAATTAAATTTGTATGCATGCGGCACAACAGTTTTCTGAGAATCGCGACTGCGAGTCAACAACTTTTTTTCTTGCATGACGCATCTAGTGCCAATAAATTTTCATTCCACCCGGTAAAAGGCTTCATACTGAATAGACGGCCAGAGTTTGTGAGAGCGCGGGTCCAAATATCTCGGTTCATTTTGATCGCAGCCTCCCAAAGTAATTGTGCCGGCACCGACATGAAGTTACTCATCAAGTTGATTTTAGTCAGCTTTCTCATCACATCTCAAGCTTTGTGCGAAGAAGAAGGTGAGGTTTCCTTTTCGTTCTTCTTTTATCTTTTAAAATCTTAAATTTTAATTGCTTTCAAATTTGTATGTCCTTTCCCTGTAGTCGGGTACATTTTACATTATAATTTGAAATGCTTAAAAATACCCTGCTTGAAGACAAGAGGTAGGACATCAAAACGAAAATCTACGGTCAGTGTTGGGGTTTAGATGGATCCCATTAATTCTAGCTATTCTAGTTAATCAATCAATTTTAATGATTGTTTTTATTATCGGCAGGTATTAATCTCTTACTAAAGGAATCGAAAATGCTAGTTGGCTGGCTAATATCACTCACTTAAAAAAGGAGGCAAAATGATAAGTTGATATAGGTATAGTGAATGTAAACACCAATCACATGATTTTCTTGTACCCGAAGACTTACGTTCTTGGTCGAGACGCTTGTATTCATTGTGGGTATTTTTTATAGTCCTCTGCTTGTGATCATATAATTAATCTAAAATACCAGAACGCCGTAAGAGCCTTCAGACGTTGCCAAATTTCCTCGGATAAATGTTTACTTTTGGGAGAAATATGAATTTTTTCCCTCGAAATTTTCAGATAATGGATCACTAGACAAGGTACGAATTTAAGCATTCCGGTACATGTTTCTTCACCAAAATTTCACGTAGAACACAATTCGCGCAACGAAAATTACTGAAACCAACTCCTAACGAAGATATTAACCTTTTCATTTCACATTGGTTACGAGGAATTTGAACTGCCCGCTCACAAGAAACTCAAAGCTCTACGTGAGTCAAATCGCGCACGTCAACGGTCTCAGCAAGTTTCTTAATCGAGCAATATTCATTTCCCACCAAGTGTTATTCGAACTATAGGCAATTTGCTATAGCTGAGCCAAAGCGTCAAGATTGAGGTTGCCAGATTTTTACATCGCGCAGAGATTGTCATGATAACGTTTAGCGCGCGATGTGAATCACGTAGAGCATTGAGTTTTCATGAGCGGGTGGTCTGAATTCACGCACCAAGAATCATTAAATATCGTTGTGAGGAGTTGATTTCGATAATTTTCATTGTGCGCATCGTACTCTACGTGAAAATTTAGTTACGGATCATATATCAGAGTGCTGAAATTCGTACCTTGTCTAGTGGTCCATTTAGATCTGATCGTTCAAAATTCCCCGAAAAATATGCACAGACTTCCCTGAAAATTCAAATTTTGTTAAATGAAATTTAGCAAAGTCTAACGGCTCATACGGCATTTTTCCCTAGCGGGGCAGATTGTCTCAGAAATTTTTGCGATCAAAGTTGTACCCACACGGTTAAAAAAAAGCACGAGGTTGTTGGAGGATTTGGACATTTCCGATTAATCGACGTAGAACCCCTATTACTTGCGGTAGTGCCCCAACTGATTGTGGTAGTACCCCAATAAATTAGGTTACTAACCTAAATGTTGCGATACAACCTCAACTTGAATTGCGGTACTACTACAATTAATTGGAAATGTCCATATCATCCATAAAATCGGGGTAGTAGCACAATTTTAGGGGATAACCCCTTACACTTTTTTTCCGTGCAGTCAAGTAAAATCGTCGCTCCTCCGATGTGAGGGCGTATCTCAATTTCTGCATGGACCCCAAAAAACATGGATTTTTACGTAAAAAACGGCTTACGTGGAATTTGAGCTACGCCTTTACGTCAGAGGGGCGACGAAATGTGGAAATGACGGGGGGAAAGGGCGTGGAAGATCACACGTAATCGGTTGTTTTGTCCCGTAAAACTGACTCCACACCATGCGGATTAATTTCAGACGAGGGGCCCAAAATGAATATCGCAGTCTGCAGGTGCCGACAGAAGTATGGATACATCGACCGTGGACAAGATTATCCCATAGCTATCACGACCGGAGAAATCGTAAAAATCCACGGAAAGGAGGAATGTAGGTGCAACCTTGGCGCGGTCTTCCTTAAGTTTTTGAAAGAAGAAAATCTGAGCATAAAAAAATTCGTAACGTTGCACGAGAACGGATCCTTAGGACCGTGGAAGGCCCGTAACTGGTTGAGATGGCACGGGCTCAAAGTCAGGACATAAATGAAGAAAATACCAACCGCGGACCACCTGACCTGGGACCTTGAGAATGACCGTGAAGAAGGGGCTTCATTCACAAGACTTCTATATACAACTTCTACTTCTTTACTTAATATCATAATCAAATAGCACATCCGTTTGCGATATTTTTTTGCACTTTACCTACCTACAAATGAATCAGTGAGAACGAAAACACACCAACCAGGTAACTAGAAAATGCCCAGTTTCCATTAAAGACAGTTAATTTACATGAAGGTTATTGAAGTTCGCGCATCTGTTCCAACGTGGACCTTAAAAATGTCCATACGTGCTTGTCTTTTGGCAGCAAACATATTTTTCTTAAACTAACTTCTCCTCGTATTTTGCATTTTTGTGTGTGTCTTGATTATTTTCATTCCTCCAGGTTGGTGTGTTTTCGTTCTCACTGATTCAAGTACGATGTTTCTGTTTTTTTAATCATAGTTACAAACAATTCAAGAGGGAAAAATGCGTGAATGTATGAAAGAATACCAAATATAAAATATTTATTCATTCTCAATTTATGATATACTTTTCGGTTGGACCGATTTGAATCACCTTTGAAACAAAAAGTGTCCCATACAACGGCGAGGATATTTTTATTCAATTTAATTATTTTTTTTTTCTTTCTTTTAAAGAACCAATATGATCTGACAACTTCAGAGGAAAATGTCGATCTCATGAATCATAAATATGACGTTAAACTTCGCCCTTGATATTTGACTCCTGATACCTAACCTCTGATTGTTAGGTGCAGTTTCAAACTGACCAACATTGTAATGATGAGGAAGTATGAAGCACGTGGATTATTATTATAGCCCACACTGCGGGCGACGTTTTGACACCGTCTCTACGTATCACGTGAGATATCTAGGAATTTATCTAGGAACGAAGCAGTGGTGCATTTGAAAAACTCATCCTATTTTTCAAGAGATTCTAAAGAGCAGATTCTAAAAAATCTCGAATCCAAACTTTTATATTTTTACAGAATTTTTTTTTAAAATTTTAATTGTACACCCTGTCTGAGAAATGAAATTTTTTTAGCAGACCGAAACATACTAAAGGAGTCACGTCAGTTTTGCCCAAAACGCTAGTTATATAGAAACATTTTGAGACGATTCCGGGAATAGTGTTACAGATTTTTAAAACTGTACGGAACAAATGTAAACTATCAGAATTTCCCCAAAAATCAATGCAAATATACAAACTTTTGAAATTTTTCCGAACAGTTCAATTATGCGTGGATGAGCTCGCCGAAAAAAAGTGAAGTTGATTTAAAATACCGGATGTAAAAAAAGTGTGCGAGAATTTATAAAATGCTGAATTATCCGCTTCAGCAATTACTTTAGCAATGCCAAGATGTAAAACCGACTGCTGTGGTGAGTAATTCACCATTTTATAAGTTCTCGTACACTTTTCTTTACATCCAGAATGTTAAATCGTTTTGAATGAATGTGATGTTCTGATTTACAATTTTAAAACAAAATTCCAAGTTGAGCTATTCGATGTGTTTGAGAAGAAGTATCATGTATTACCCACCAATCTCCTCAGAAAATCTGGAAACTTTATTTTAGAAATCTCTCACGTATACATATGCCCTTGTTTTCGAGACATTTTCGATTACTTTTTTACTATTATTTTTTTAGTTATTTAATTTTTTTTTTAAAGTTATGTGAGGTCTTTAATCCATTCGAGGATTCTGCAACCTTAAATGAGCATCGGGTTAGGGTTAGTGCACATCCATGCTCCAGACTTTCAAATTTTCATGTATTAAAGCCAAGTGGAATCTATTTCTGCAGATCCACTCGTCAGCTCCATGAAAATTTGTCGCCACCACCGGGATTCGAACCCGAAATTGATCGACCCAGAGTCAGACGCGCTGACCCGGTCAACCTGGCCGGCTTGGATGAAAAATTAACTCTGTGATATTTCCCATAAAGACCCCAGCAAGTGGGCCGTAGGCGGATCAGTCAATCAGAAACGACTCGTACAAGTAGGGGGTACGCCACCCAGCCCGCAATTCAAATGGTAACTCTCGTTTCCTCTTTGGTTCTTTTACAGCAGTTTGGTCGGGACAAATTTGAAAAAAAAATGTATAACGTGAGCAGGGATTTTTTGTTTCGGATGACAGGATCGCTCCTCGAAGCAACCTTATTTTTTTTCCCGCCACGGAAGTAAGCCTACGCTTTCAGCGACGACGCGGGTCGCACTCGTATGTCAGACTAAAATGTAAGCGATGTTGCTCATCAGAACCGCGCGAAAACGGAAGTGAATTTTATTGCTTTTTCCCTCCTCCGAGTTCTCAGCATACTCAAAATGTGCCGTCATCATTCATGCTGCCGTGCTTGGGAAGAACGCCGTATGAGCCTTCAGACGTTGCTAAGTTTCCTTCGGTAAAAACTGACTTTACCGGAAAAATTGTGAATATTTCTTTCCAAAATTTTCAGATGATTTTGTGGGCAATTTAATCTAAAATATCTGAAAATTGCAAGGAAAAATGCGCATGCATGTCGTCAAAAACACACGTTTTATCAAGGGAAATCTGGCAACTCTCGACTGTTCATACGGCGTTTTTCCTCACAGCATGCGACTGGGTGGCATGCAGGTGCAGCTCCCGCCCCAGGTGAAATTTTATTGGCGGCGGCGGAAAAGAGAATAAATAATGTTGCCCGCACCCGGGGACGCCGGAACCTCCGCTGAAATGCGACATTTTCGTCCATATTCCACAATAAATTATCGAAATTTTTTGGACGTTTGGCATCCCGGTTCGCATCTTTTTCCTTCACCCGCACTCGCTGCGACGTCTCAAACCATGTGCAAATTCATATTTATGGTGAGCAGCCGTTGTGGAGTTCTTCCCTGCTGAGTCAGAACATCGTATCCTCGATGGGTATCCCTTGTAGGTTGGATGTTTTTGCCGAGGACTGCAGGGCACCGGATTATAGTTACTCGGGACTGCACGTATTCTGCGATCGTTTATCCGAAAACGGGGGGTTATAGGTTATAAGCAAAGTTTCCGTATGCAAAGCGAGAGAATGCAGACCCTGTGTGGAAACTGGGCAGTCGTTATAAAACGCACCGAATTGAGATTTGTTGCAACCTTCGAGGAAAATTTCGGTGGAAAGTGCATCGCAGCTTATAGCTGGAAATTTGTATTTGTGACCACCCACGTTGAAATGGATCCAAATGCTGAAAATGCAAAATGGACCACTAGACAAGGTACGAATTTAAGCATTCTGATACATGTTTCTTAACCAGAATTTCACGTAGATTCACGCAACGAAAATTATGGAACCAACTCCTAAAGAAGATATTAACGTTTTTATTTCACATTGGTTACGAAGAATTTGAACTGCCCGCTCACAAGAAACTCAAAGCTCCACGTGAGTCAAATCGCCCACTACAACGGTTTCAGCAAGCTTCTCAATCGAGCAACGTTCATTTCCCACCACATGTTGTTCAAACTATGAGCAATTCTCTATAGCTGAACCAAAGCGTCAAGATTGAGGTCGCCAGATTTTTATAGCGCAGAGACTGTCATGATAACGTTTAGCGCGCGATGTGAATCACGTAGAGCATTGAGTTTTCATGAGCGGGTGGTTGGCATTCACACATCAAGAATCATTAAATATCTTCGTAAGGAGTTGATTTCGGTAATTTTCGTTGTGCGCATCGTGTTTTATGTAAAATTGTGGTCAAAGAACATGTATCAGAATGCTGAAATTCGTTCCTTGTCTAGTGGTCCATTGGGGAGTATTTCTAAAAACTTTAAATGAAAAAACTAACGGGACTAACACTCTGTTACGCTCGTTTTGGAGAGGCGCTCAGCTGTTTTCTAAGAAGGCATGTTTTGCAGTTCCTCGAAGAAGATGAGCACCGTCAAGATGAAAGAAGTCACCAAAATTTCATCTATCAATTGGACTACATTGTGCAATTTGGAACTATAAATTCTAGCCCGATTTAAAAACAACGTATGTGCCATTAGTTTCCCTATATACACATAGGTGTTTTTCCAGAAGCCAGAATTTATAGTTCCAAATTGCAAGATGCAGTCCAATTTTGAGAAAACTACACCACCGCTATAAAAATAAATTACATAAAAACGGTCACTGTCCTCCGTGCAGATAGGCATTGAATAAAGATATCACGGATTAATCAATTCTAAATACATTTTGCCCCCCTCCGCCATCTTGTGGTCCAGCTGGGGCGTCAATTGAACGCACTGCCACCAGTATGTATATTACAATTATAGAGGCAGGATGAATAAAAAAGAGCTTACAATCGGCTGAGCGCTGAATCACTGGAAAAACACATTGGATCTAGAGTCCAGACTCTTAAAAACATTGACAAGAAAAAATACTCTTGATTCAATCGGATTTTTGCTTGAATCAAAATGAAATCCGCTTAAATTAAGAGGCTTGGATCTTGATTTAAGCTAGATTCTGATTGAATCAAGATTACTTTTTCTTGTCGATGTTTTTAAGAGTCTACGGTTGAGTCAGTAACATTTCCTGCTGACTTAACCAAACTTAACCACACTTCTAGCTTGTGTTACTGAACTTCTGACCGGCGCCAAAATCAGCTAGGAATATAGGTGAAATCACCTTACTTTTTCTGAGGTCGACATAAATAAGGACTAAAAGATTCAAATCAAACCGCCACCGTGCTACTTTTAATTTCAATAAATACTTTGTGAAAGGAGCAATTAAAAGTTCAACCCTGCCATGTTATAGGCCTAACATGGTGTGATTCAGGTGCAAATTCACACCCTTTATTAGTAAATGTAGCATACCTGTAGTTCGTGCATCATTAATGAGTCGAGAGCCAATTTTTTTAGTTCTTATGGCAATAATCATGGACACCTTGAGCTTTCCTAATCTCTCTTTCATATCTGTTTATTGGATGATCTGTTGTGGGGGATAGTTACATAAAATTTCATAGAGATGCACCGTAATCAAAACTATGGTAGACATTGACGTAGACAGTGAAAGGAGGTACCCTTAATTTTCGTAGAGGTCGGGAATAATGTTTTAGATTGATTTTTCAATTGATCCCCATTTGGACTACATTTTGCGTACAATTTCTGGCTCATTTTAGAAACATCACATGTGATATTTGTTTCCTTATGGAGATAAGGAGCTATTGTGGTGCTTTTGTGAGTGAGTCAGAAATTGTAGTCTCTAATTGCAAAATGTATTCCATTAATGAGTTTGTCACGAAAATCCCTGCAAGTGATGCCTTCGTGATTGCGCTGCATCTGTCATTTCGTCAGCGGAGCCGAGAGCGTTTGTAAAAAAAACTATGAAATGTCTGAATATTGGGGACACGCATCTCGTGTTTCAAGACGGCGCTTGTTACATTGTTTCACCGAAAGTGGAACTTCATTGCAGCCGCGCTATGATCGCACTCGGAGGCTTAGTTTTTCGAGCATGTCGGACGAGGAAACGTCTCTGCCGAGAAAATTACAAAATTCAGTGGGACTCTCAAAAGGCAAGTACATCTTTGTGCATTTTTGATTCT